GACCGCTAGTATTGACGAAGTCGAGGTATATTTCCGAGAATCATTGCTCTTTTTTGAGAAATCCAAAACGTCGATACTTAGCACCTGCTTTTTTTTTTTTTTGTTAATTGGTGTGTCATTCGAACTTGTGCATAATGTAGTCGGTATTGCGTGCGCATAAGCTGAAGAGTAAAAGAGCTGTAGGCGTTAAGGCACCTGTCAATAGCACGTATCACTGCAACTTGCTATAGCCAGATTGCAGTGGTACCTACTAGCGTATGTAGTAAACAATAATGGTAGTTAAATTAGATAAGAAAAAAAGAAAAACAAATTAACGACATTCATAGATTTGTGAGCAAAGAGTAAAATAAAAGGTGAAAGTAAAGTAAATGTACATAGTAGGAATTTAGTACTGTTTGAATTTATAATTAAAAAGTGTAATTTTATCCAATAATACTTCATTACTGCATATTTGAGAAAGAAGGGCTCGTAAACATCCAAAAAACAAAATGTTCTTAAAAAAAGTGATCGTATACTACATGTGTTGATGCTGCCATCTATGCCAAGCTTTGGCTTTGAGCAAAAAGGTTTGAGCTTACATCTGGTAATGGCATCGCCCTTTTTTCGTCGCCCTATCCTTTTCTGTTACTCAAAACCGTCTATGCTAGAACGAACGCTCTATATTCCCGAGTGCAATCTCATTCATGTCCTGGGATTGGATGGAGGTCAAGAGTGAGCAGTGAGTCCATTATAAATAAATAAAAAAAATAAGTGAGAAAGATTCCTTCACTCTCTACATAAGCCCATCTCCCGTTTTACATAAAGCATCAAATAAACATTGCTATAAGAAACGCAAAATTTCATACGGCAGCAACCTAATTTTTATCGGCTACTGTTTGTCTCCAAAATAAGATCGTTGTAATGCATACATATTTGAAAGTAACAGGGTTATGTTACCAACTGAATAAACTTTATTTTAACTGCATTCTTATCTCTTTTTTTTCTTTAAAGATGAAAAGTAAAGGTTGTTTAAGAAGGGAAAGTAGTACCTATTAAGAACTGTGCTGTAATGGTCGGCCCACATCAAATGCAAGATACTTGTATCAATAATTCAATACACAGAACGATTCTCAATGTAACGTTAAAATGGACAAGTAGGTAAACCATTTTTATTCCACGCACCCTGTTGATGATTAGTTATTATACTATTAATTATGGTATTGAAATTATGTAAAAAAAAAATAGCTTCTGTTCAGACGTGTATAAAATTCCAGTAATATCAGATGAGATGACAACCTCGTGTATCTTAAAGTGAAAAAAATATTTAATTTTGGAATTTCGCGACCGTATACGCTACTTATCTTTCGACAAGTATAGAGCGACCCTAACGATAGCGTTGAAACAAATGTTTCTTTACAAATATGTAAGTATAATCTTTCAACCTGTTGTTAAAGGCCTTGATATTATAAATTTTATGTACCTGACATTTTATGAGTAGATTAAAAATTGACAACAGTGACGTCATCTCCTGCTTGCCTTGTCGCCTCGGTATAAGATTTTTGAAGCTTTATTGGATTATTTAAACATGATCTCTACTTTGATGCCATAGAAATGTTACTTAAGGTGGAACTTCACCGTTTAATATTTTCAGCTTTTATAATTAGATGTCTAATAAGAGATTTTTTTTTTTCGCAATAAAATTGGTTTTAAAATGCCTTTGTTTTAAAATCTATATACCTATCACTCACTCATTCATCACGAAATACCAGAAACTGCAAGTGCTAGGAGTTTAAAAAAAATATATTCGGGTTCTTTTTAGGACGTAGGTGCTCACTGCTAAGACGGGATTTTATGAAATTCAATCTCTAAGGGGGTAAATTAGGGGATGAAAGTTTTTATGGATTTTTTAATACCTGGAGTTAAAAATAGATCACTCCGGCGAAGCCGCTGGAAGGCTTTAAGTGTTATATAATGATAAAAATTATTCGTTCGACTCAAGAGTACTATTTATAGGTTTGTTTGAACAAAGGTAATTTTGACTTTGAGGTAAAGAAACACCACCAAATAAAAATAAACCAAGTCCATTGATCAAAGTGTGGATGAAATTATTTAATAACACATAATATATGATTTGATTATGGAAGGATATGGACATTTCAATTGATGACAAAAATAAAATCAAATCGAAAGAACATTAGAGCTAGTTATTATACATTATAGCTATATGTATAATATATATCTAGCTATAATGTTCTTACGAAGTTACGCGGGTGACATAGTCTTTTATTATAACAGCTGTTTTGATTAAAGCCTATGTCACCCGCGTATAATGTAACTTTCCGGAGATGAGAAAAACTGATACGACGGGACTGCAATGCGATTGAGAATCAAAGTCCTAGTGACTTCAATTTCTGCTAAGAATCCCACGTGTTACTTTTGCAACGAAGTAACCACAAGCTGTGATTCATCATTATCAGTTACAGAGACATAAATATTGAGTGCAGTTGAGTCATTGTAAAATATTCTTTGTCTATATATAATTAAGTGTCCTCACGTACATTTGTGGTGTGTTGAAACGACACTCCCTTCAACCAACGGTTGACTCAGCACCGAGGGAACTGGTGTTTGTTTATTTATATACCTTATTTACTGAGGTGACAAATACGCTTATATTGTTTTAATTTGTTACAATACTCGCGGTTTTTCCGCGACTTGGCCCGCGTCAAAAGGGACCTAAAAGGGTTAAATATATTTTATTACGATTAATATTTATATAGAATAAAGTATATGTAAATATTTTTCAACATTGGGTCGTTTTTGTCTTGAAATTAATTATTAAAAAAGTACAAAAAATACGGTAAATTCAGAGAAGTCATGCTGTTTGCGAAATGTCTGTCCTATCTATCCCTATTTGGTCGTTTTATATTTTATTGACAGAGATGGTGTGCTCTCAAAATATTCAAGTTGATTCTAGATCAATACTTACTTTGGCACTGGTACAGATCTGCTCTTTCAGACGGACTTGGCATAAGTCACTTCTATGTATATATAAAACAAAGTAGCTTCCCGCTATCTGTAAGTTAAGATCTTTTAAATTACACAACGAATTTATATGTGTTTTGCATCAAAATACATAGTGATTCAAGAAGAAAGGTTATATGTATAAAAATGTATTATATATATTTCTGTTCTCAAAAGAGTGCCCGCGCGAAGCGGGTTGCGGGTCGCTAGTCACTTATAAAGTATTGGATGGTATTTCTTTTGCTTGCTCAGAACTTTTTATTTAGTATATTATAATCTAAAATTCGATACTTTTACAGTGATAATGTTGCCATACCTAATAATAATGTTCAAATATGGTTGCATATACCACAAATGATTTTAAATAACATTAGTGGGAATTACAGGGAAGTTTTTTTTTAAATATTTCATACTAACAACTCTCTCGTGGTGTTCGATGGCGCCGTAGTTAGCGCGTTCGGTCTGCGATGCGGAAGTTAAACGACTTTCGCAAAAGCCGCTCATAGGATGGGTGACCGAAAAAGATAAATTTGAATATAGCTTTGTACCGGATTTTTCATTACTTTAATTGCTACCTTTTCTTGGGTGCGCCCATACTATATCTCTCTCTCGACCCGAGAAACTGACAAATGAGTGTAGACAAAGCGTTTCTCGAGTTTGTCATGCTACGCGTGCTAGACGTCTTTTATGCTGACAAGAAGTACAAGCGAAATTTGGACGATTCAAAAGTACTTGTAACAAGCTTACTTGAATAAAGACATTTTCGTTTCATTTATTTCTACAGCTGTAATGTGTTCAATGCTTAATTTTCTAATCCAATCAAGCTTACGTGGATCCATTTATAAACCCAGCTGAAATCCTACTGTTTAACAATATACCCATTGGTAGCTTACGAAAAATCGTTAGATTGAACACACTATGTTTACACAGTTTTGAACTTGTGAACGTTTCAGTGTTCAAATAGATCACGATGATTAATGGCATACTGAAAATTATTCTTAATACAAAATGCTTAAAAAATCCACTTGGGCCCTGGCACCCTAAGATGGGAATCGAACCCACGAACATTCGCAATCCGGGCGACATCTCAGGGTGCCAGGGACCAAGTGGATTTTTTAAGCATTTTGTATTAAGAAGAATAGTTAACGTTGTTCTGGTGATGAACTGAGTTTTGGTCAACTGTTGAAATAAAAACTATGCTTTCCAATAATAAATAAATCATTTTGTATTCTAAAAATATTATATTTTTGAGGGAATATTTTTACATTTATAACTGTTTAGCATTATAATAATTGCGGAAATAAGGTATCTGCATAATCTGCTGTGCACCAGCACATCTGGACACAAATGCACATTCAAAAGCGGCAACATTAGCAAACGACTAGAGAATAATATAGACCGGTCGCGGAACAGAGAGAATTCCGTACAACATATATCGTTTCATAGATCTATCAAACATATATTTGTTTGTATATGTTTGATATACATATCTACATATTTTAAGTTTAATGAATTTATCCTTTTATTAATTCTCATCTTATAAATGTGTGCATATAACATCATATTAATAGCAATAAATATTATATTGTATTATTTATATTCAGTTTTTTTTTGATGATGCTCCGATTTGTTTGATATTAAAATTATTTTACTACTCTTTCTGCCACCAACAGGCAGCACTATAATAAAAAATCACGTTCAATTTTGTCCTCAAAATTAAATAATGCTTCTAGTAGATATATCTCGAAATATAGCTTATTGTGTACTATTTTAAGCGCACAATGAAGTCGTAAAAATAAGGCTAGGAAAGAAATCACGAAGATGTTAATTCTTATCAAGTCATAAAAATTACGACAATACTATTCGATTATTGTATGAAATTATCTCTATTTAGCGACCTGACAGTAAGTTGGTGTGTAAGTTGCTAAATAACACACAGTTATAGCACTGAACTTAGGTACGGTAACGCTTGATTCTATTAAATATGTATGTTGTTGCAGAGTTCTTCCGATTCGGTGCTGACCACTGGTTCTATATCGGATCGCATAAATAATCTTCAGCAGCAGAATGTTGAGCAGCAGCTGCCGCCACATGTCGCCTCCACCCTGCACAGGAACAAGAGTTCCTTGCATTCACAAGGACAGGCTCCTCTTGGTACGTGGATGTTATTTGTGAAGTTGTTATACATATAGATAGCGTCGTAGCTTCGAATGCTTTTTTTTTTAAATGACACAAGAAAACTAAAGATTCGCATAATACATGATGTTCCATTTACAATTTCCTATTGCTCCACACAGTGCAGAGTATTCGCCATTTTCGTGTATATTCTAATGCGTAGTAAATGCTCTTTTAAAATAGATATCACAAGGAGCAGACGATAATGATAAAATTGCTGAACAGGGCAAAACGTTTCTGTCAATTTGCCTCGAGACCACAGAATGCTAAACCAAGTGAATGTATCAGCACATTATTTTTCAAAGTGAACATCCATTTTCAAAAAGTGTAATTGTGGGTTGTGCTTACTAAAATAAAAATTATGTTCCCTTTAATTGGTCAAATTTTAATACTCAAGTACTCAAATTGCCAAAAATATTCCCTGTTCCCTTCCTTCCGTGTTTAAAGAGGGAATTATTTCAAACGTGAAATAATTCAAAGTAGTTTAAAGAGGGAATTATTTCAAACGTTAAATAATTCCCTCTTTAACACTGAAGATTTTTTCCTGTTTTGTTTTGTCGAAGTCGATACTATAGTTTGAACGTATTCCACAGGTGGTAGTATGACATCTCTGACGTCAGCGCCTCCCACTCCGACACCTTCATCGTCTCTGTCCACGTCCGATTTGTCGGAGCGGCCGCGCGTGAGTCACGGCAAGCCCAATCTGGCGCCGAAACCCCCCACTCTACCTGACACTAGGCCGTCGCCGCCGCCGAAGAAACTTATTGTCAATGGCAAAATCGCCTCCAGGACGCAGAGCATGAGGGTGCCCAGGTAACAATATAATGTGGGATTGATGATTTGTTGAATAAAGGACTCATGTGTTGAGAGACTTGCAGAATAAAGATCATAGAACACTTACACTGCATGGCTTCAACATGGCAATTTAAATTTGAGTATTAAATCATGCGTCATTTAAATCATATGGCAGTTTTTTTTAAATACATAAATTAATTAAATTTTTTGTTTTAAATAATAAAAAATATACGAACAAAAAAAAAACGGTGAAATCAAATTTAACGAATTGTGAAAAGAAAATATAAATAAATAAAAAAAAAGTTTTTTTTTTGTTTATGTAGGTCCATCCTTAACAATTTTCTCAACCAGAAAAACTTTTAATAACAAGTCCTAAAATACAAAAAGAATTTATGTAGTGTTATATAATTATCAAGTTATGACGATAATTATAAATATAAATATTTAACAACATCACATACATTGCTCAGATTCCAAGATGAGTAGCTAAAACCCCCGTATTATGGACAACGAAGGTACCACAACACCCAGACCCGAGTCAATATAGAAAAGTTTCTACATTGACCCGACCGGGAATCGAACCCGGGACCTCAAAGATGGCGACACCTTGAAACTAGCGTGCGAACCTTGAGATGAATCGTTGCTTTGTTTTTTATTATTTTGTTGTCATATTTGTGTGTGATCACGACATATTTTAATGTTGTTTTACATTATATATATATGTATGTTTGTATGTATACAGATCGCCCCCCGTGTCTCCGCCGTCGCCACAAGCCGGGTACGGTCGTCCGCTACAGTTGCCGCCCGCTCCAGTCAATCCTCCTATAGGGACCAAGAATCCGGCCTCGCATTTCGGTAACTATAGTTGTGAACTGATATAAGTGACCTCTTGTTCACTTTATGGATACATGTATATTAAAAAGATTATAAATTATATAATGGGAAAATAAAGGGAAAGCCCTTTTAACTTGTTTCCCGCGAAACAATCAGTCATGTGACATTTTAAGCCGTGATGTTAAATTTTCAAAAAATTGAGTACTGGTTGCACTCGTAACAAAGGTTTTCATTCTATTTGTTAAAATGTGACGTCACATGATGCTCCGTCATGGTCACTACATATTTGTCGTACACATATAAGCTACTATTTCCAACTTATGTCAAATGTATGTTATAACAGTCAGGGGTGAAGACGATTCTTTTTTATAATTTTTATTACATTAGTTAAAATCTAAAAATCAATTTATTTTTCAAAATTTCCCGTGAGAACGCCATCTTCTATCAGGGCGTCGCTATGACATCGCGCCCTTCTTATATGCATACGTTCTATATATTCATGTTCTATCATTCAGGTTTAATTCTCGTAGTTCTGATATGAATCACGTGATAGCGACTATAAAATATTTTATTATTACATAATTCATTTAAGCAATATTATAAAATTATAAGCATAAAAGTGTGATTATCGGCAATGATATATTAAACATTACCGGAAAAAGATAATAATATGTATTTGTTTTCGTTTACTGTCTACGCTCGTTTTTTAGATATCTACCCTTCGTAAACAAGGGTAAATGCCGACCTATCTCGGCAATGTATGTAATGTTATCTAATATATTCCGTACTTATTAATATGAGATATATTAGATACGAAGGGCATCTACCCTTCGTAAACAAGGGTAAATGCCCTTCGCTATTTACCCTTGTTTACGAAGGGTAGATGTCCTTCGTATCTAATATATCTCATATTAATAAGTACGGAATATATTAGATAACATTACATACATTGCCGAGATAGGTTAAATAATATGGAGTATCTTGATACCAGGCACCCTCCGTGCGCCGCGCGGGCTGCGCCCCCCGGGCGTGTGCCCCCCGCCGCCGCCGGGCGCGCCCCCCGCGCCGCCGCCCGCGCCCCCCGCGCGCCACGCCTCCCTCGCGCCGCCCCCGCCCCCGCCCCCGCCGCACCACCGGCACAACGTATGTACACACACACAATTATAGTCAACCATATATACACTATAGCATGGTCGCCGCGTAGAGAGAATTTCGTACGTTGACCTTTGTGCCTCCTGATTGATATCGTAAATGTTATATGTTTAGACGAGACAAAAGCGGCTAGATGCTAGGGTTTCCAATCTATATTAAAATAATCGATTTAATTTAATTTGCCTTTAAGATCGATACGGGAAAAAATCGATCTTTCAAATATCGATTTATTCTCCTAATATCGTACAAATACTTTTCTGTCTAAATCATCGGGGTAATATCAAATTATTACATTAAAGAAATTGTGAACTGATAATAATTATGTTATGATTATGCCGTTGTTTTCTCAAATTAATGAGGAAGTCAAAGATAAATAAATTCTTTATAGACAATAGTAAAGATCGATTTTTGATGTTTGTTTTGCGACTTTCTTGATATTGATCTGGGTGGCAAAGAATCGCCATTTGTTATTAAAATATCTACAAAAATAACCTCTAAACGTAAAATCAATACCTATAGACAAATACGCTTGAAACTTATTGTTCTTGTTTGTTTACAAATCAAATGACTTCATACCGATAGGTTAATGATGATGAGTTTCTTCATACTTTGGGGAGTAACGTCACACTCTGCTCACGTATTTTGGTCAATTCTCTCTCACTTCTCTCTTAAGAGGGAAATAGGCCTCCGCTATGAAAAAAAAATGCAAAAATAAAAACTGTATTTAATTAATCACTCCCAAACTAGAACAATAATTGTGAGAGTGCTGCATAAATCCCTCGGCATAATACATAACGTCTCACATATTTATCAACTTTCGCTATTATATGAAAGGGAATAATTATAAGAAAAAAATTAAAAAAGCTTTAGAGATGATTATAAAATAAAGATTTATTATTGCGCTCCCTAAATAAGTTTATTTCGTGTTAAAACTGTAGTTGAATATCTATGTATATTTATATATAAATTCACGGTTTGCTGTACACTAACGCTTAGAATACTTTTTAAACCTAAGAAATATGATGTAGTCTTCTAATTTTTAATAATATCTAATATCTTGACGTTATTTCTTTGATGAAAACATAATGATTTTCACTGTACACGCCCCTTTAAATAACTTTATCTCGTGTTAAAACTGCAAAGCGGCTAGTTTTCACCCGTTTTCATCGCCGATTCGCGGTTCTTCTTACTGCAAATTTTTTCTTTCTCTCTTTTTTTTTGAAACGTGTGTGTGTGTGTGACACGATGAAAATAAAATATATATGCAATTAATATTATACATGTGAAAGTTTCTCCGTTTGGATGTTTGTCGGTCAATCACGCCGAAACTACTGAACGGATTTTGATAAAATTTTGTATACAGATAGGGTATTAGCTGACTTAGATAATAGGATACTTTTTATCCCACTTAACATTTCCCTAGGGTCCACGCGGGCGAAGCTGCTGGCGAAAGCTAGTATTTATATATATCTTACTTGTAGCAGAGTGTGAACGGCGACGAGGCAGCCGCGCCCGCCCCGCCCGTCCGCGGCTCCTCGATGCGTCCGTCGGACCTGGAGGCGAGATTCGCGGAACTGTTCCAGGCGGCGAGCAAGTTCCCGCCGCCGGATAAATTCCTGCGCATCTCCAAGGGGTACAGCAGCACAGCCGTCGCCGGTAAGTACACGTGAACCGTTCGACCGCCACCGGACGGTATGTCAGTGCCTTATTAGTAGGTTAAACGTACGGCTGGAATGTATTAACTCACCACTTGCGTTGTGTAGACACGTTTTCAGTGATCAGCGTTTGGTGAATTATACTTTGGTGCGGTTGTAATGTAAAATTGTAATTTTAAAAAGTCTTTTCTTCCAAAGTCGAAATTATTTTTGAAAGTGGTAGTAGTAGTAGTAGTTTGTATAAGTACTAACGTTTAAAATTATATTTAGTCTTTTACCATAACACTATAAAATACTCTGATTTCAAATACTGTGATGATCTTTTCATTCTTTACTTCTCTGCAAACTGATTTGATTCGTTGAAAATTTGATTGATCTAAAAAACTTCTCTAATAATCCTCAATAATTTTCTTTCATGTGAGTTAGTCACGTGTCACAACATAGGTCATGTAATATTCGTCTAGTTTAAATATTTAATTAACAAATATCTTTCCGCAAATAATTCGAGTATTCGAGTTTTTCGAAAACTTCTGTTTATTATAAACTAGATTTAGCCAGCGGCTTCGCCCACGCGGTCCCTAGGGAAATGTTTAGTGGGATAAAAATTATCCTATTATCTATGTCTGCTAATACCCTATCTTTATACCAAATTTCATCAAAATCCGTTCAGTAGTTTTGGCGTGATTGAAGGACAAACACCGAAATAAAGAAAATTTCACATTTATGATATTAATAGGATTATTAAAATGACAACAGATATTTTAATTATATAAAATGTTACAACACGTTACTTTTCAAAGTAATTAACTCTTATAATGAGAGATGTATATATGTAGTATTCATTTTCTGTGGAAAGATATTCGAATTGAATGTTAGTCAGATAAATATTTCATGCCCTAGTGAGGGCTAAATGACAGTGTGTAGTTATTCTACAGGATGAGCTGTATCAAAAATTATTCTATATGAAAATCCTACCAAAGTACAAGTCACTGATCAAGGTTACTTAGAAACTGCCCCTTTCTTATATTCTTTTTTAATCTGTAGATACCATACTTTGATTCCACTTCCAGTTCGTTTCACGCCTTTATTTATGAAGCCACACAGTTTTTAATTTCTAACATCCATTTGAACTGAGAGTTTAAATTTATAATTTTATAATCAAAATTAATCACGATGTTAATTAAAAAGTGAGTGGCTATTCTCTAATCGCAGTATTGCGTCCTGCTTTTTGTGTAGATTTTCGAAATTTATCTTAATAGTTGATATCTTTAAGGTTCTTTTTTGTTTGCATTTGTTACTATACTAAGCAATGGTTAGTAGACGTTACTACATGACTTAATCTGTTGCGTTTATATATAATTATATAGCTATATTAAGAGCTATAAAAATTTAAAATTGTGATAAGTCATTAATTGATGACGTATTAACATAAATTGTTTATAAAATTTTAATTTACTTAAAATCTATCATCATAAGTACAATCAGTGGCGAAGAGATGCCCACATAAAATATAGAAGCGTTAAATTCACGAAAACATATAATTTCTCTTATTCTAGATTAACTTGAACGATATCTTTATGCAAACGAATAAGATTTTTAAAGATTACATATATATTTTGACTGATAATGACATTGATAGCATATTTACACTTAAGTTGAGGAGAAAAACGCACACATACGTGCTCTTAAGTCATAATTATATGTATCAAAGTAGTAGGTGTGTTATAATTTAGGTAAAAGTCATAAAACTTTTGACATAATAACTTGTATTATTATAGGCTTAGTTTTATAAGAGAGTCATATATAATGTTAGTTTGTATACCAAAACGAATGGATTTATTTCTATAAATTTGTTATTTATATAATGTTATTTTTATTATGTATTATTCCAGTGCATGTAAGCATGTGAAATATTTCTATATTAAAAAAAATTGTTCAATTTGTAGATGTTGATAAGTAGACTGTTGCGATCTTCTTCTTTTAGAAATGGGTTCTAATAAAAGTATACTTTTGTCGTCGTTAAAATACACATAGAAAAACATTGAATAATAATGAATCAATTTTAGCTATTACAAGACTTTGTGCGAAGTGAAATTGCATTTAATTTTTTTCATTCCATCAAATCTTCTGTAAGATATTGTCTGATATTATATAATTAAGTCGGATTTACAAAAAAATAATACTTTTCATTATTCATTCAATTTTCAGGAACGATAATAATTTCTAGCAGTTATCAGTTCGTATTGCATAACAATTTGATCTCTGGCATGATTCATAAATCATATATCGACGCAATTTTCAATCCATTGATTTTTTACACTGCTTTGGTAAGAGCTTATTGGCTTTCGCAAAGTCATGTAAACCAAATTTTATATGTCATATGGTATCGGCGTTAATGTAACTTATTTATATATACATATATATATTTTAGTATTATAATTAAGTGGTTTATGTGTCAGAAAAAATCTTATGATGGAGTTGTACTATGTATTGTAGTTTTGTTTAGTTAGCAGGCGATTATTATGCGTATCAATATAATAAATATGATTTTTTCTTTAATAACGCCTATTTAAAATAGGACAATTCATGTATCTCTTAATTAATTCGCAAAAGTACAAATTTTATTCGCAGTGTCAATATAAATAAAAAACAAACGTAAAATGACGCGCGTAATACTCGCCTGACGTTTGCACGAGTCGTAGGAATATTTAAAATATTGTCTATGTGGATATGTAGAAGGAAACTGTTGTGATTTTTATTAATATAGTCGGGTGCCATTACTGCGTATTTTATCATTATATATGTGATCGCTTTACGATATTCATCTTTTTCATCACTGATTTGGCAAAAAGAAAACTAGCTTTTCACTAAAATACTTAATGGACCTGTTTACAAAACTCTATGGAACGTGTTGCCAACGTAATATGTCATTCCTATTATATTACGAGCCCTCACACACTATCGATTTGTGGACGTGTTTTGCACAAGCGATTCGACGACTTATATACGCAGCTATGGCCAATATATTTTTTAACCGTTAAGTAATGTGTTATTCGACACGGTGCTTTCGCTTTATACGTGCTCTAAGACGTTCACTGGTCGCTTTGGCGCAAACACGCTCACAAATTCGGCAGTGTGGTATGGTCTTTATGAAGTTAAGAATATTAGTGAATCGCTATTTCGCTTTTACATTGAAGCAACCGGTAATGTGATAGTTGTGTACGATGCCTTAATATTTATATTATTATTTTTAATAATAAAATATTTCAATTATGATTGTCCTTTCATTATTTAACCTAACATTCCACATGCAATACATAAATATCATAGCAATTTGTTTATTGTGAGTGTCTCGCTTTTTTCGCAGATTCAAGTTGGGGAATGCGAAAACAATAGTTGGCCAATTTATCAATTGTTAATTTTTCAATAATATTAATGTAGTTCGGGATCATAAGTAATATTGATAGACTGGAATTTTATTATACGAACTACACAGTTCAGAACGCATGAAAACTGGTAAGTCTGTTTTAATTAGAAGCATGCGTTTTATTTTACTTTAGTGTTAAGATCGATGCATTCTACAGGTTTGTATAACTGTCGTTTGAGATTTTAGTTATTGGTATAAGTATATTATTTCATTATAGCATGGGCATTACTCACCGCATGATAATTGAATGAAGCATGAAAATAATTGATCAATAAACAAGATTAACGACTCTAATGAGAGTTATCTGATTTGTTGGAACATTTTGAGGACAATACGTGAATCAACTTTTACGATTTTTCCATGGAGTTCATCTGTTATTCACCAGAATTACAAAAAATGTATAACATTTTCATAGCATATCTAATATACAGAGCTTTGTTAATTAAGTGGTTTGATGTTTTTTCTGACAATATAGGAAAGTGTTTTTCAATACGATATTCATGTATTACCACTAAGAAAAATTTCGGGACAATAGATTCGGAGCCAAATTAGATGTGATCGACGAACAAACGCATAGATTTTGTGCACCTAAAAGGGTTATTTTTTTTTGAGAAGTGGAGCCCTAACAGAAACTGTTTTCGCTTTTCTCACATTAGCCGCTGTCTCGTTATGAATTTAGTTTATAGAAATTATGTGTTTTGATTTTTTTTTACGTACGTTTGGGTGTCTTAACAGCGAACAAGGCGCAGGCGCCGCCGCCTCCGCTCCGCGTGCCGATCGAGGGGTGGTCGGGCACCTCGAGCGCGTGCTAGCGAGACCGGGGGGCACGCGCCCCCCCCGCCGCCGCCGCCCCCCGCGCGCCCCCCTCCGCCCGCACGCCCCACCTCGCCCCCGACTCGCACCCCGCGCACGCGCTGCTGTCCGTCGCCCACGCGCTCCTCTGCCCCGCCGGCACAATCGCCAATCCCGCCGTCGCCCGCCGACCGGAGCCAGATCTCGAACGTTTGCCCATCGACGACCTCACCATCCCCACCGGGGACGTCAGCGATCTCCGCGATGTAGTCGACGCCATCAATCGTCTGTGCGACACCATGAAGAGTTCTTACGGATCTTCCGACGACTCGCTTCGAGAAGACGAACCCGATGAAAAGGATAGTGTGACTAGCGATAGTTTCGCGGGTTCTTTCGATTCCGGTTTCACCGCCCGCGGGGACGTGCCCGTGTCTAATGAATATGAATCGGACGTAGTATCCCCCGAGGACGTTTCGAAGTCTAAAGATAACGCCGAGTCCGGAAGCGATCTCCCGATGCCTGAGGACGTGGCCGTATTCCACGAGGCCGAAAGCGTTCCGTGTGAAGAAATGAGCGTCTTCCGCGAAATATTCGCTAGGTGCAAGCCGCAGCGGAATGTGAACGCTCGCGATGACGTCGTATCTCTGCGGGAGGAACTTTCCGGTAACGAATTTCGCAGTGACAGGGTGCAGGAAGCCACCCTTTACGAACTCGTCAGTCCTGAGATTTCATTTCGAACGATCGACGCGATAAATCGCGAACAAAACTGGAGTGATTCGCTGGTGTCTCTTCCCGTCGAGTCCGTTTGTGAGCCGGCGAGTGAGATGTA